GAGAAGGAGACTCCACAACCCCCCTGGGCAGCCTGTTCCAGGGCTCTGTCACCCTCAAAGTGAAGAAGTTCTTCCTCATATTCAACTGAAACCTCTTATGTTTCAGTTTGTGCCCACTGCCCCTTGTCCTGTTGCTGGGCACCACTGCGAAGAGCCTGGCTCCGTCCTCGTGACTTCCACCCTTGAGATATTTGTACATGTTGATGAGGTCACTTAGTTGGTTAGAGCTGGAGGGATTACCCTTCTTCCCTTTTATAGGTTGCTAATGAATGAAAAATGGTTCTGTGCTTCCACACACACCCCCAAAGTAAAAGAATTAGTACCTAATACAGTCTCTGCAATAAGACACTGGTTTCTGCATCAGCAGTTTGACATGTGCCCTTAAAGAAGTGGACTCTCTCAATTCTCCCTCCTAATAAACATGAAAGCTGTGATATGTTGTCATAGCTCTCTTAAGAGAAGGAATAGCATCATGATACATAACATATGCATAATAAATAAGATTTAATTATTTTGATGAAAGAGGCAGCAGAGGACAGAGAAAGAGCACCAATAAATTGAACTCTTGAACATCAAAATGTATACTTTTGTGAACAGGTTACAAACGAGACGACAGCTAAGAGCTAAGTGCAATAACATTTCTGTGATTAAACATATGCACATTTTTTGTTAATCAGAACCGTTGCAGCACAAAGGGGACTCGGGGGAGATGGGTGTGGGGGAGAAGGAAAGGAAAATAAATGCATCTGGGCAACTAATGTTTACATTTCATATTTGATTAGCCAAAACAAGAATTTTATTTTCACTTCTTATAAAGACTCATTGGGTTTTTTTATTACCCCAGCAGGTGTTACACTACAGGCACCAATTCTGAGAAAACAGAAACTCTGAAGGCGTGTCACTGATTACCAGTAGCTGACAATTCAGTTAGGCTGTTCACAACTGCTGGAATTTTTTCTCTTACTCTGAAGTAACTTTTAAATTAAGTGTCAGTGCAACCACCCGCTCACGTCCCCTAGGTCAAAGATGCAGGCCGCACAAACAATTCAGTCAGCAGGGGCAAGGAAGCCTCAGCTCCACTATCGTGCACAGACAGACAGACAGCAAATCTGGCACACCTGCACAAGGGGGACGGATGCTCTGGCGTACCAACTGGGAAAAATCAGCCTAAAAGATCTTTTCACTTTCTCTTCGTACGAACATCAGGGGGACTCGGAGATTACGGTCCAAGCCACCACCACGTAACCCCATAAAACCCCCTCAAAACGTAACAGTGAGCACCGAGAGATCGCACCCCACACACACGTAGCTGGACTACAGGTGTGCAGAGACCCAGCAAGGGGGATGCCCGTGTCACGACAGACACACATACACAATACTCAAAAGACCAGTGAGTAACTTACTATGGCTTTGAGATAATGCAAGATTGTTAAGGTTACTAACTAGGCACGTAATAAATGAATAATTTGCTTAAGCGGAATTGTGCAGTGGTCTATGTATTTAATTGGAGGATCCAAAAGAACTGACAGTCAGAAGGATATTTATAATACAAAAAAGACATTATATATACATATACACACATGGAATATATCTATATATCTCTATATAGATATACATAAATCAGTAAACTTGAACAGCGCCTCTATCAAGAGCATCTTAAGGCATTCAAATGTTTTACTATGACACTGACCCAATGTATCATCTTTTTGCTTTGGCTGAATTAAAGCAGATTAAAGGTCTCATCTGAAACACCAAAGACATCTGAAACCAAAGCCTAACAGTATCTTGGGCGACAGCAGCAGCATCTAAGAACCCACCCACTGCACTGCCTATTAGCTGAGTAACATTAAAAGGAGTCTAAACAAATCGTTCCCACTCACAGCTTTGCAACAGCAGAAGATACATCGGTCTCAAAGACTTTCTAGCCATATATTCTATAGATTCTATGACAAATTGAGGATAGAAAAGATACAGCAAGAGGGCCTGCCCTAGGATAGATAGAATGCCACTGAATATCAAATAGTATTTACAGTACAGTTATGGGATTATAGAACATTTTATAAATACAATTAATATGTGTACAAGGGCACATAAAAGAGAAATTTATTTTCATGCTTTACAAAGTGAAAGTAACCTGAACCAAAACTTACTGCAGAATTCCACAGCTGCTGGTTAGGCGCGTCTCTTCCCAACTGCCTGTACAAACCAATCCCCATCAGAGGTCACCAGTGAAATACCCATGTTTTAAGCAGCAGCTATGAAGAATCTCAACAGACTCTGAATCTATGTATGAAACGTGAAGTTTCAAAACATGGGTAAGGCATAGCATGTTGGACAGTTGTGACAACATTTACTTGTAACTAACTAATGTTCTCGGAGAACTTGGACTGTAACACACTGCGTTTTTGCAAGGAAATATATAATACTGCAGCATATAGGTGGCAAAATTCAAACAAGGTACATCACAACTTCTAACACAAGATAACAGAAAACGCCAAAGCATCTACTAAATTCTAAAGATGCGAGCTCTTCCTATATTTGCGTCAAATGGTTAAAATAATATTTAGTATTTCAGTACTTGCACATATCCTTAAAAGGCTCGATAACTTCCTTTAATAAAAGCAATTGGTTTTGCCTGTATAGAACAGCGGTACCTTTACAGTTTTGTGGGGGTTTTTTTTCCTTTTTTAAACACATAGACAAAAGACCAGATATAGTGTTAAGGAGGAACATAATACAGTGCAGGCAGAGGAGAAATATACTCAGATAAAAAGGCAATTTTAACAGTCAACTTAATGAAGAACTGACATTATTTTCTCTGCACACTTCACAAATGGTAAGGCAGGCTTGATTAAATTACCTTTAACCATTAATATATTATACTTTACTCCAAGGCAAGACGACCAGTTTTACTGGGATACTTACTATGAAGGAGGACAATCTTTAAAGGTTTATTTACATGGCAAACAATCTTTTTTACATAATATATAAAATGGAATAGTTATACGCTGCAGCCATTTTGTAATATTTAAGCTTAAATGAAATCTCAACAGCTGTAGAACAGGCAGCAGAACATTAATTGTTTTATTAAGCTACAAACCCATTTTCATTATAGAAAGTAACCAACTACCTGCTTGAGAAAACACTTTTTCATAACCATCTTCTACCCATGATAAGCACTTCACAGTGGCGGAGTGAACTTCCACAAATTTTTTCTCCCGTGACAAAGTCCGTTTAAGAAGTTTCTATGCTGCCATCCCTCTTTACTGCAGTTCACTCCTTCCTCAGTTATGCCAATATAAATAATTTTTTGGACCACACTGGAAACTGGATCACTCAAATGAACAGGCTTACAAGAAAGAAACCTCCGAATGCTAAACACCAAAGCAGTTTTTTCACCGACCCAGTTATTTAGCACGGCACTACAGACAGCTGCACCGGCACAGAGACGCACTGGACGGGAGCACTGAAAGGGAACGAACAGCCAGAAGTAAGCACAGGCACACAAGCCTTTCTTAAACCAGCTTGGTGAGAAAAGTAAACTAGTAACTGGTGTTTGCTGGGAGAACAGCTATGAACACCAATGTCATGACATTTAGATAGTCACAATGCCAGTGCAATGGCACAAATAATAATTTAAGAAAGCAGTAATGCTTACAGGCACAGTATTAGATTAACCACCGGAATTCAATTCCAAGAAGGAAGAAATGTTTCAAGAGACACGAAGTTTACTAAAAATAGTGCATTTTCTTTACCAGCTGCGTTAGCTTCAAGAGAAAGGAGGGGGGAGAGAGAGAAGAAAAACCCCATAATTCTTTCTGCCTCTCACCTGTAACTCCTGGTCTTGTCCCAGGGAAGCTGCTCCCAGAGACCTCAACAGGCTCAGTACCCTCCCACCACGAGACCCAAGGGGATGCCTGCCCACCTGCTGCGGGAAATTACAAGAACAGTCATGCAGAGGCAGCAGACACAGCCCTAAGCTCCTAATTCTCTTCTGAATTGGGCTGCGAAAGACAGAGCACTGAAACTGTGCTGCCGGCTCAGATGGACCGGTGTGTGAGCTTCCGCCTCACTGTCTGGGTAACTAGGAGGAAAACTGTTAAAGCCAAGTGAAACTGGTCTCCCCAACAACAGTCTCAAAAGCCATAATTTATAATCTTTTCCCCATTAGTATATCAAACATATAATAAAGAAACCATTCTGAAATTTATTTTTCAAACTAAAAATTCCAACTAAAGCAGAACTGTACACACTTTACAGTTTGGTTGTAGTCAGAAAATTAAACTAGATTTCAGAAAGTGTTTTTCCTAAAGCTCTTTTCCTCTCACAACCATAGGAGAACTGATGACAGGAGACTATCAAGTTGTTTCTGAGTGAGCAGTCGTTCTGCTTTGAGAGTACCAGTCACATACTACAGCACTACTAATGTCAAATTTAATTGCTATTTAATACTAGTTCTAATGCTTTATCACTTTACAATCATATTGTAGCCACAACAGACACTTTCTTGTTCCAAAGCTAAGAACTATGCCACCGCCACAGCAGCTGGAAACATTTCACCAGATAGATGGCTCAGTTTTTCCAACACTCTGAATAATCAGGCTAAATACAGTGAGAATTGAGGGTACAGCAGACTTTTTTTTTTTCCTTTTCAGAAATGTATCAGAGTGCTTTATTAGTGTAAAGCAGGTTTTATATTTGGTCAATGCAAGGAAAAACTGTCATTAAAAATTCTAAAGCAGAGATCTGTCTTCTAAAATTATTCAGTATATGTACAAATAGGTATCAGGCATTATCTTAGGGGAAAAAAAATCATCACTATTTCCTATTTTGAGTACTTAGAGTACAGAGAACTGATAAAAAAAATAAAAAATCAAGTGGTATTTTTTTTTCCCACCCAACATCAAATCTCTTCTAAATTAAACAATTAACAATGCTGGAATAAATTAATATTTGAGAGG